TGTGGTGGTTCAGTGGTAAGGTTCGACGTTCGACGACTCGATTCGACGTATGCGATTCCTCGCTTATGCTTCACAGCTCACCACCAAGCCTCCACCCTACTGCACCATTACAAACTTTACCTGCTCATAAGTTGCTTGTGAAATGCAGGTTGCAGTTTTGCTATCTATATTTGTAAATAACCTTATAGACTCTATCGATCTACCCAGGTCTCCATTCAAAGTTCCATGGTAAGTTGGCGGACTTCCCTGGTGAGCGACTGCAACCTTCCCCTGAGATAATAATCCCTTCCTCTGCTATGGTGGATCCTTAGTGAAAGGAAGGGTCGCCATTGCAGGCCTTCAGAATGGGTGCAGCCTAGTACCGCCGTGATTCAGTACCGTAAGCATACCGCTAAGCACGAAACCGCTTGAACTTCGCGATACACCGTCGGAATCGAAACAGGCATGTGGTGCCTGCATTTTGCCTGTAACGCAAAATCCTGCCGCTTTCGTGACGAGCAAGAGCAGCACTTTCGTGTTCAGGAGGTCAAACTCTGGAGGCAAATTCTTAGCCGAGTTTTTTCGGTGAAAATAGTCGCTAAAGAAGACTGATCTGATTTTGGGAAGATTGTTCAGTGAAGGGTAGATAGTGGTTGACGCAGAATAGAGGTGAGTGATTGACCCCCTCTCCCTCCCTTCCCCCTCCCCCCCGTAGGTGAGTAATGAGTGGCCATCCGATCCAGCTCGAAAGCGGCAGAAGAGGTTCTACGAATGAGGGTGATTCGCAGCAGGACCCAGCTCCCTCAGAGCCAGGTCCTACTGATGTGAGGTGCCCAGCTAGGAAATGCAGTGCTGGTTTGTGCCAGATTCTCCGTTCCGGATGTTATGCGCTACATCCGTAACGAGGATGTTCCCTCTTTGCGGCACTTCAAAAGTGCGAGGAAGCAACCTGCGGACCCGTAAGGCATGGGCCGACGGCGAGAAGGGCATGCTTATGCGCATGAAACGTCGTTTGTGTGCCATCTCGCCCTTCTTTTTGTCGTTTCCCTGCAGTGGCTGAAATCGTTCACACTAAAAATCGAATTACGAAAATGTTTTAGACAAGTTGTTCCGGTCTGATATGCCCGTTTAGGCCGCTCATCTACATAGTCGCGGTGATATGAGGAGCAATAGGCAGCTGACACTGGATTTTCTATCGCTCTACGCCACGTTGCTGAGTCATATCCGCAGTGATCCGTCACTGAAAAAGGAGTTCCCCACGGAGAATGGCGACAGTTTCATTTCGTGAGTTTTGACTTTTTTCCCTTAGTCGATCTATAAGTGTATGGGTGGAGTTGCTTTGAACCTAGACTCTGGGGCGCAGTTCGGCTTGGTGGGGGCATTTTGCACTTTCGCTAGTTCCCTTTGATGATTCTTCTTGAACAACACTTTGGTGAGATCCGAAAACTGTGGAATGTTTGAGTGACCCTTTTGGTGACAGAAATTTGCAAGTGTTCACTTGATGGCCTGTGAACATTCAGCTGAGTACAGTTCAGTGGCCCCACCAGGTCAAACTGCGCCGCCTCTTCTACTTATTATTAAAACCTGAAATATTTTGAGTATTTGGAAGT